TCACGCGGCCGGGCCGCGAGAAAGCCTCGCAGGCCACGTCTGGCCGTTCCGAGGAGTCGAGGCCTCCTGTGGCCCCACGCCGCCGCTTCGCTCGTGGCGCAGCCCCCGCGCGAGAGCGAAACCAAAACTGCGGCATGCTCCTGGGGTCTGCTATGAGTGTCTTTGTTTTGACGCCAGACTCGCCGCAATCTAGTATGCTGGACTCTTTTGGGTAAAGAGACTTAATTATGTATGTTTGCTTTGGAAGCAGGCATGAAGAGAAGTTATTGGAGGGATAAAGAGAAGCGTGCGTGGAGCGGTCGCAAACCGAGTTACCATCGCCGCCGGTATGGAAGAACCTATTGCGACCACTATCCTGAAAGGTAAGTGTGTGCTGTCTGCACTTCAGATGGTTAAGCTGTTAGTTGTGATGGTATGTCTGGTTTAAATGTAATGGTACCTGCCCAGAAATGGGACGGTAGTCACCTAAAAATCAAGAGGGGAGGATTTTCAGTATACCTGTCATCGGTATGCCTGCTAGGAGCAGAATGGCGTTGAACTTTGGATGTTCATCACATGCTCGCAGCAGTATTTTGGTTTAAATCTGAGATGTGTTTCCTTGAGGTAACCCTTTTGGGTTTCCTGGGTCTTGTTTTGTAAGGTCTTTGTCAATATGCAAAGATCGTTTAGGGAAGAGAAATGAAGTACTTCCCCACCAACTTGCTTTACCTTTTAGTGCCTTATTAGGGTACAAGCTCTCATTAAAGAATCTCCCTAAAAGTTTGAAAATGCTTTAATAATATACAGTAAGTATTATTTTTTTTTCTCCCCCCTTTCTGTTTTTTTTTTCCCTTCAATACAAGAAGAGCTAGTAAAATGCCAATATGCTTTCTGAAGTATTAAAGGCAGGCATACACCGAGAATCCATCTCCAATGTTTTCGTAAGTGTAAAAACTTTAGGATGTTGATGTCCTGAGGAGTGGTAGGTTTTTTGTTTTTGTTTGTTTGTTTTTGGGCTAAACCCTTGTGCTGTTTCTGTTTCATCACTTGGCGTATTGTGATTCATTTGAGGTGCTTATGACAGTCCTACAAAATTGTGTTCTGTTAATATAATAGCAAACCACTTTCAAGAGCCTTTGCAATAAATGTTTCTAGGCTAGTTGTGAGCCTGTTTTGAAGGCAAAACTGTCTTTTAGACCTGAAGAGGAGGAGACGGAGTCCCCCGTAAATACAGGCCCCAGTAATAGTGAAAATTCTTCTTCCAGTTTAACACAGAACTCTATAGCACCAGGTAAGACATCATATTTACTGATAAAAAATCTGTGCCTATATCCCAGTATTATGAAAAATATATATATCAGTAACAGTTATAATTATTTCAATGACAACAGAAAGTGAGTAAGCAAAGAAGACTGCATGTAAATATTATAACCTACATCCAATAATCAGCCTTTTTAATAACTCAGCTACACACAATTTTGAAAAAAATATAAAATCATCTACACTACTATCATGTGTTTTGCAGTCAATAAGAGGTGTTGTTTGATGGCAAAATATTTGTTCATTAATCAGGGAGGCAATCGGAGAACTTGATGGAGTACTGATACTATTGAGAAAGATGTCCTTCTTGCATTCCAGTTTCCAGACTCATGTATTCACTCCTAATAAAGTTAAGCTTATAGTAACATATGTTTCTCTAATGTGAGAGAGCCAGAAACAGCACTCTCTGTATAATCTCTTAACAACAGACAAAAGCAGAGTTTAAACTGACCCTTTTGTGTATCAGCCCAACAGTGCTTATGAGTTTGTGGTGGAAATATTGGAAATATGTACCCTGCAAAGCATTTGTTGCTATGTAATCGTTTTAAATATACTGGGTGCAGTGCAACATTAACAACCTTCTTGATAGGTGCCCTAACTTCTCTTTTTTTGACATGAATAAATGTTTGTTGCTGAGAGATGTTGACAAGGAGATGTCTTTAAAGTAATCTGTTTTGCTGCTGCTTACAATTCAATTTCTAGCAGTAGCAAAAGGTATAAATGCAAACTCTTGAAATGAGGTGAATATGTTAACTTTTACCTTTCTCAAATAAAATCCTTTGCCTTGAGGCAGTCCACCGTTATGAGTATGTCAGAAGTGTTTTATCTGTCTACTGTGAATCTACCCAGGCAGTGAAGCATTAAAAATGAATGTTTCTCTCTTCCCAATCCATCTGTAGAATGAGCATTAGTATATTGTCAAAATGTACTTTTGCTTGTATCTAAATCTGACTTATGTATTCAGGAAAAGGTGGCATGTTCTTGGAAGTGAATCACTTTATTTCCATTTGGATGATGCTTAGCTGCCAGTTATTTTGCTTGAGACTCCCTTAACTAGTCTTTTAACCAACAGTATCCCCCCAGGACTGATTTATGAAGAATAGTCATTTTTGTTCTGCAGTAAAAAACTCTTCCTTTGCTTCTCTGATCTGTCTGCATTTTATCTTGCTGACATCCTTTCTGTACTTGTGTATTGACATTGCATTTGCAAGTTTTCCTCTAAGTGGCTGTCAGCAGTTATTTGGTAGGAGGTAACTTTGTCATCTATTCCCAATCTGTTTATCATGATTGGGACCTGCTGGGAGCAAGTGCTTTGAGTTTTGTAACTCTTTGACATTCCCAGGAAGATGAAGGATGTAAAAGAAGAAACTTTAAGAAATTAAGTTATCTATCTGTTGTTTTTTTCCTGATGTTTGTCACTTTAGAGCTGCCAGGATTTTACTATGACTCGGAAAAGAACCGTTATTTTCGTCTATTGCCTGGACATAATAACTGCAACCCACTCACCAAGGAGAGCATTCAGTACAAAGCAATGGAATGTAAAAGACTGAGGCTCTTAGAAGAGGAAGAAAAACAAAAGAAGGTAGGCTCTGAAAAAGATGGAAATAGAAAATTGATTGAAAAGATTGAAATTGAAAAAAGGTTGAAAAGACTAAAGTATTTTATTCTGTTCTGACTCAGAACAGCTCACAAGCTAAACTGCTTCAATTAAGCTGACTGGAAAATGAAAATTCTTTTTTTTGCTGAGAGTTTAGAGCCCTTGAAGTTCTTGAACTCGTTTGTTCTACACAAAAATGAAAACAAGCTATTTCCAAAACTAAATTTGTAAAGAGACAGGAACTGTGCTCAGAGTAGCAGGTAGTCCAACAGTTGAACTTAACTCAGGATTTTGGATGCTTGGTTTCAAATCCCTGCCTGGAATTTGCAAGGTAGGGTCTTAACTGTAGCTTTTCCATATGCTTAATAAACACACTTTCATATTTCCAGACCCTTAGGGATAGTACTAATGAAGTTCTGTTGAAACAGCATTTCTGTGAAGAATTCTATTTTATTGATTTTTTTATTGGCAGGAGAAAAAAAAAAAGGCAAAGTTGGTCTTACCTTTATAGGCTTTCCAGGCATAAAGTGTTATAGCAGGGAAAATAGTAGTGAATAATATCAATAGTCTGGGTAAAATACTCAACAAGAATATCTTGTAAAGCTACAAGAGCCTTGGTTTTCATGTAGTTACAGGTCAGTAGTTTTAGCTGAGTTTAAATGTGCTAAGTGCTCTCACTTAGAAGTGCAGTATATATATATATTTTTCCTCACAGGTAATGAAGTTCTGACTTCAATCATCAGTTCAGCTCTTCTATCTTGGCTATGAAAATTCTACAGATAGGTCTTTCCATAAGCAATTTAGTTTTCAAAAAGCTGCTTGCCAAGTTCTTTTTAATGGGGTCTGTAAATATATCTCCTTTCTCAAATCTAGCTGCTGAATCAGATGTCAGAATCAAGGTGCCAGATGCAAACATTTTGACTCTTAAGTACTGCTTTGTCAGAGCATTATCAAAAATTTCTTACTTAAACTCTTCCCCTTTTTGTCACTGTTTGAAGTATTTAAAGCAAGATGAATGCAAAAACAGTTTAGTGCATAGTAGCAGTCTTGTGGTGATAGAAAGTTTTGCTACCTTTTAATCAGTATATTCTATAACACCTTAAATTCTTATGTCAATTTTTGTGTCAATAAATGTTTGTTATGCAAATACTGGCTAGGCTGGCTGACTTTCTCCTCCCCCCACCCCCCAGTTTTCATATTAGGAGCACCTGGCCTCTCACAGAGCGTTTGCCCTTGAATGTATTTCTCCCCACTTTTGCCTGCTTGCCCTAGTAGACTATTGAGGTGGTGCTGGAATGTATTTTACAAACCTTCTGAAACTTTTATTTTGATTTGTATATACAAATATAGGCTAGAGGACAAAGCTAACAAAACATCCCAAACATGAAGTATCTATGACTGTGTCTGAATCATAAACAAGCAAATAACTGAATGTGCTTCTACTTTATTCTCTTCCAGAAGACAGCAAGGCCTGGACTGAACTCATCTATGCTGTTGCGTAAAAGGCAGCTGGGTTTACTTAGCTCCAGAAGTTATTGCAGGTAAAAATGATTTGAATTCTTTTCTGTTTGCATTACCAAGTTCTGTTAGTGCAGCAGTTCCTGTTGGGGCTGTTTGTGTGTGGTTGTGAATGTTTTTTGGTGGTGGAGTTGGTTTGTTTGTTTGTTTTGCATTCTCTATTTTTCCAGTTAGGAGAATAGAAGAATGCATTAGTTGCAATAACAAAGTAGTTGTTATATAGCTATATATGTATATTTTTATGATCAGATCCTGCCTTGCTTTCCATTACATACTAAATCATGCACGCATGGAGAAGGGTTCACAGACCTTTCCAGAGGTGCTGAGAATTGGAATGAGGAAAATATTTCCTACTCTCAAAAAATTGGAGAGTAAAACTTTACACTTCTTCAGTGTATGCTGTTCTGGCACATTGTGCTTTATAAATTTAGATAAACTTTTCTCAGCTGACTTAGACCTATTCCCAACGCCCTTTAGAATCTCTATGCCTGGATTCAGTAACACCAGAGAAGAGAAATCAGCAGCTTAGTGTGTTGTTGTTTCTGCTACTGAAGGTGTCCTGGGGCTTGAAATAACAGAATGGAATCCATTGGCATTTTCCACAACTTTTCCTGGGCTATATAAGTGAAACTGGGTCTTGCTAGTTGTTCAGGCATTTTATTTTCTGTGACGAAAGGCAGTTCTGTCGCTTATCCACAGTTCTTTCCATTAGCATTAAACTTAGGCATAGCTAACTTACTTTTTTCCTCCTCCTTTTTACAGACTAGTCCATGAACTAAAAGTAAACTGCATGCAGAGGCGGAAGATAGAAATCCATAGTCCAGATTCCTCAGTCACTGGAACCAACAACTTTAAAATAATTGTGGTACGTTGTGAGAGTTGTTCTGCTTTTAGGATAAAGGGAGCTCTTGTAATTGAATCCTGCAGGTCAGGTGCTGCGTTCAAGAATGCATTTTTTGGGTTGTGTTAGTTCTCAAAAACTGTGCTCAGTAATTTTTAGAGCAGGTAGGAAGCAGCTGTTCCTCCCTAACAAAGGGGAAATGGTGAAAAGGATAGATATGACTAATTTTTAAGGAAAGTAGAGAAAACGGAGAAGAATTTGTGGAGTAGTGAAGTCTGTGGTCCCTAGAGTCTGTATAGATGCCAGTAATGATTTCACTTCTAAACCTCTGAAGGCAGTTCCTGCTGTTTTTGATGGTACTGGATGTGCAGGAGAGGTCTCAAATACAGGAAATTCTCTTCTACCAGCTACCAGTCTTGTAAACACAACACTTCATGATTTGCTGAAGCCAGAAGGGAGTTGGAAACTTAATGTCATAAAGCACACATTGAAGCGTAATACAAGATGATTCACTGCACTGTGATCCAGCAAGGGAAGAAGGCTTTTGTGCTGTGCAGGAGAATTTTGATTTCATATTTCATAAGACTTATTTCTGTGTTCACTATATGTCCAGAGTAAGTGGCCGGAATGGGTGTAATTGCAAGGAGGATTTCTTGTTGGCAAAAGACTCACTCCTAACTTACTGACTGTGTTTTCTGTGCATGAATATACAAAGGAGGTGGCCACTCTGTATTAGAGAGAAATTGAAAGCAAAGCAGATGGTGGTGAACGGATCAGAATTCTTGTATTTTTCAATTTCCAATATGACAGTGCTTTTATTTTACAGGCAGATGGCGCTTGTGAGCGGATATTCACTGTGAATGATGTAGAACATGGAGGGTGTAAATATGGGATCATCAATCTCAGTGGTTTGGGGCAGGAGTCGCTCACTGTAGAGATGTATGACAACCTTTACTTCACAAACCGCAAGGTACTGTGGGCTGTTTCTGCTTCCTTCACTTGTGCTCTCTAAACAGTGGCCCTTGAGAAGCAAAGTAGAAATGCCTGGGGGGTGGGCTGGGAGGTGAGAATGGAAAAATGTGTCCATGCAAAATTCTGATAAGCAGAATTGTACTAGCCCTGTCTTTTGATAGAACAGAAACCTCTGTGGAAGGTACCAGCTTTCACAGATAGCACTTACTGGAGTAAGTGCTTACTGGCAGCAGCTGACAAAACTATGGTGAAGAAACTACCAGGGTTTGTTTGCTTCTTTCTTAAAAATGGGTTTGAAGAAAATACATTATTTTGTCTTCAGATTCTGTTAAGCATGCTGCCCTAAATAATGTGCCTGATGCGTCAGCTCAGTTTGGACAGAATTCTGAATGCTGCCTGTCTACTGCTACCTATAAGAGGAGTGTGAAACAAAAATGTTCTTTTGTGTGCCATTACTGGGCTAGTTAGCGGGCTAAGTGTATATGCCCAGCCCTTAGTCCCATGTCATCTCTGCATGGAAATACCCTTTCATGAATTGTACAGGAGACCATGAAAATGACATGTCTTCTTTTGTCTGAAGGTGAATTCTGTGTGCTGGGCATCACTGACTCATCCAGATTCTCATGTTTTATATCCTTTTAAAAATACATTTAAGCTCTGCTTTAGTAGTCTGCATCAGGCTGCACCAAAAAAAAAAAAACACCTTTCCAGGAAGAAATCTTACATACTTATCCCGTGTATTTTCCTGTAAAATAGAGAAAATTATGAAAATGAAGGAAAGCTGAGTTAGTGAGACGCATGTAAGCTGCTGCTGTACAGATATATTTAGCATGCAAAATCACAGGGGAGAGGAAGGAAAAGAGGTTTTAATGTGGAAGATGGCAGACAACATGCACCATTGAAGTATCCAAAGAGGAAGTACTATGCAAATGTGCATAACTTCTCATGGGAGAAGCCAAAAAATCCAAACCGATCCAAAAGATGGCAGGAATCCATCAGACTTGCTCCAAGATGGATAGGAGTTGTAGATTGTTTGGTTTAGTCTGGTCATGTCACAGAGTTAACACATTGAACTCGAACAAGCATAGAATCCTGTTCATACCTGCTATAGTGTTGAGAAAGTATTTCAATGTAAGCTCAGGTGAGGCTTCCTTGCCTCCCCCATGTGCCTGCACTCCTCTGCCCAACTCATCTCCATGGAGAAAAAACAAATTTAAACTAGTGCAACAATATCAACAGGTGATGGCGAGACGAATGATCTGTGTTTTTGGGGGAGGTGGTGGAGGGGAAAGGATTGTTTGCCTGTTTTTCCTGTCATTAGAAAGAACAGGAGATGCATTAGTATTCCTGGGGGCATAAGTGCACAGGCTAGACCTGGAGCCCTATCTCTCCCTTTCCTACAGAAGAAAGGAAGTGTCGTGACTTGATCATAAAATGTACTGTGAGCTGCTGTGTGTGGTATCTTGCGTTTTCCATCTCGAAGCGCTAGGCAGCCTGATCCTTCCTAGGCAGAGATCAGTGTTTTCCTTAACCCACTGGAGCACGCTGTGTCTCATGGGAATTGCAGAAACGCCAGGCTGCGCCAGCCTGCTTCCCGCGTCGCTGTTCAGCAACTCTAACCCAGGTAGGCTGCAGGAGTTGCTCAGTGTTTGTTTGCCTGCTTGTTTTCTGAACAGTGTGTGAAGGAGAGATTACTTCTCTATCGTTGCTTCAATAGAGGGAGAGCTTGTTGTATTCTTGTCAACTGCAGAAAGCCTGTAACAGTGTCAGAAGCAAACAGGTCAAAGAACTGACCTGAGGAATTAATGAACAAGAAGCTTGTAGGAGCTACATGAGTAAGAGCCAAATTTAGGGTGTTGTCATTTACTCGGACCTATCTATCTTCTACAAACAGGGAGACAGATTATAATCTATCTGCACTCCCCCTCTTCTTTTCTTCTTCTTTCCTTCTATCTTCACTGTTTTGAAAAAATTTAGGTTGGTTTTGGCTAATCTGTGGGTTTTAGAGTAAATAAGATGTTTTCTGTTTCCAACCTGTGTAATCCTGCAAAAATGGCCAAGTTAATGCTGTGAGGCAAGGGTTTCTTTTTTATAACCCGGCCAGCCTGCTGACTACTGAATAGATTTTTTTTTTTTTTTTAAAACATGGTCACTTATCTCTGTAGTCTACAAGGTTCAGCTTACAATCATGCATTCCTTTTTTATGCTCTCGAGTAGCACAGGAATACCTGATTGGATAACATTGTGGGTTTCTGTTTTCAGTTGCAATGTTAAAAGAGGAATGGAGTTGAGGAGAGGCTTTATGAGCTGTCATCCTGTCCTTACAATTTTATGCATGCTTCGTATGTTGTCCACCTTTCCTAGGAGATCGACCAGGAATGCTGTGCAGCTTTAAGATATCCACTGCCTGGTCCTGTGCGTGGTGCCTGAATCCCCAGGCTGACAACTGCTTCAGCACGGGTGAGCAAGGGTAGTTCCTTTCTGTCTCGGAGAGAATGACTTCTTGCACTTGTCTCCCAGCTGCTTCTCGCATGGCAGCTGAACGAACACAGTCTGTCTTCTGCAGGCCTGACACGGCGCGTTCTTGTGACCAATGTAGTGACAGGCCATCGACAGACATTTGGAACCAACAGTGATGTTCTGGCACAACAGTTTGCCACACAGGTAGAAAGAAACATATACCCTTACTTTTTCAGACCTCTCTCTTGGTGATGGCCTTTTTATTCCGTTTGTAGTAGAACGCATCATGCTGTATGTAAGGTTGTGATTGCAGTAACTGCTCTGCAACAGAGCTGATGTGAGCGGGTGCTGGCACATAAGGGAAAAGTGCAAAAACAGCCAAAAACGAAAGTCAGCCAGTTTCAAGCTCTGTGGCAGCAGGAGCAATTTTGTTAAATGCACAGAGGTAGAAAGAATGAAACAAATATCAAGAGCAGCAGTAATAATGCATGTAATTAAAAAAGCTGGCTATTAGTGCACATTTAATAAAATTATGTGACAACTGCCGTGGAGACCTAAAAAGCTTGACGTGACTACTCTCGATATAGTTTATGTATAATGTTTCATGTTTCGTCTAGAAAAATACATTTCTTTTCTCCTGTACTCTTGCAGAGCCCAGTGCTGTACAACGGCTGCCGCTCAGGTGAGATTTTCAGCATCGATGTGCGTCAGCGCAGCCGAAAGGGCCAGGGCTGGAAAGCAGTTCGTCTCTTCCACGCCTCGGCAGTTACCTCTCTCCGCCTTCTCCAGGCCGAACACTATCTCATGGCAGCAGACATGGCTGGAGAGGTATGGCTTTGTGGCTTCTAGGAGAAACTTCACACTGTGCCCTTCAATAACTGGGCATGGACAGGCTCTTATGCAAGGCTGAAGGAGGATACTTGTTCTTTGGAGGGACATAATTGCTGCTCTCTGCGCGCATGCTCTCTCTCTCACACTCATTTGTCTCCTAAACCGTGTATTCATGGAGCTCTGAGACAAGAGGCTCATCCAACATAAGTGATTCAGCTCAAACCTGGAGGTTTTTTTTTTTTTTTCTTTTTTTTTTTTTTTTTTTTTACTTCAGGGAGTTACTTCAAAGGGGTGAAGATGAGTTTTTTTTCTTTTTCTTTTTTTTTTCCTGAGGCCCTCCCTAGTAGGAGTTTTCAGTAAAATGTAAGGGACACTAATTTACTAAGTCTGTTGTGAAGAGGAAAAAAACTTTGCTAAGTGGTTTGTTTGTTTTTGTTTCTAATATGTTTCCAGGAACAAATGTTTTCGACAGCTATTCACATTGCTGGCTACTTAACTGCGTAGCAATCCCATATTTTGAGCCTTTTTGCTCCCTATTTTGAGGTGCACTTATTTACCAACTATCAAGTAGTCTCTGCTTTGTTAATCAGGCTGTCTTCTGTAAAAAAAAAAAAAAATCTTAACTTGCAGATAAAATTGTGGGACCTTAGAACAACGCAGTGTGTGAAACAGTACAAAGGCCATCACAACGAATATGCTGTTCTCCCCCTGCATGTGAATGAGGAGGAGGGACTTCTTACAGCAGGTAGGTTGACTTTTTGTCCTTGTACGTGTAGAGTGCCTGGCAGTGACTTCTTATGCTTGGGGAATATTTCTTAAATGTAGCTGTTAAAAGCTGTAAGTCTGATTCTTTGGAACAGATAGAAATTAGGCCTTAGACAAAACATAAAAAACCATGAAAATTAAGAAAAAATGTTCTGGATACACCCTGACTGTAATGTCTCCTCTGTGGATCTCAACTTTATTTTATCTGCTCTGTGCAGTAAAAGTGATGTTATCCATTTCCTGGCATGTCTCAAGTAGAGCAGAAACTACTTGATTTTTGAAATTTAGGGAAGCAGCACAAAAAGGGGAATCTTAAAATAGTTACATAATATACAGGCAAAAGACTCTGTGTACTTTGTTCCTTGTGCCCTGTCTGTACCACTTGCTGTTGTTTTGAATACCCTTGGCTCCAGCTTGTTTGTTTGTAAAGGCATAAGCAACAAGCTTAAAGAAGGCAAACCCCCTGAATCTTTGGGGTAGGGGTAAGTTCCTCACAGTAACCACCTCTCCTTAGATTATTTCCCCATGGCCCCTTCTGCTTCTCTGACAAACACTGGACAGGGGTGTGTGCAGTGCTGGGACACAGTGCTGAGTTCTGCTGTCCTCTCCTCTGCAGTGGGCCAGGACTGCTACACCAGAATCTGGAGCCTGCAGGACGCCCACCTGCTCCGAACCATTCCTTCTCCCCACCCCGCCACCAAAGATGCCATTCCCAGTGTGGTGCTTTCTTCGAGGCTTGGCGGTAGCCGTGGAGTTCCTGGCTTGCTCATGGCTGTTAAACAGGATCTCTACCACTTCTCTTACAACTGAGCTGATGGTCTCCACAGACACGGGCTGCAAAGCCACTATCCTAGAGGTGACTTCAAAATTGCTAACCAAATGGCTGTGCCATTGAGTCAATAGGTGCTGCTGGTGCATCCGCTTAATCCATGAGAGGCTGAGCCTCCCTCAGCAGGTTCAGCAAGCCTTGCTCTAAACATCTCTGACATCTTACAAATAAAAGCAGAATGCTAATTAAATTCTCGGCCAGAATTCAGCATCTTTGACATTTAATTGTAAACTTGGGAAAGCTGGGAATTTGCAGTATGGGGTTGACTCTCAGAGGGACTGGACTCAACAGGGATGTGACAGCCATGGAGCAGGCAGTGCAGGTGAGCAGAGCAGCTAGTGCTGAGAAGCTGATGCTAGAGGTGTTGGGGTCTTTGTGGGGGCTGGGTCTGCACTGGGTCCCTGAAGCAGCCCTTTTTCCTGCTAACCTGCTTAGCAGCAGTGCCAGGGAGAGCTGTTTGCTGGTCTTTGCTGGTAGCCCTCAGGCAGGGGCTATGCTAAAGTTTGTCCTTCTCATGGGTAGCACACCCCTGCCACCATTTCCTCTAAGAGACATAGAACAAAGCCATGTTTCTACTTTAATATCGAGGTTGAATGTCACAATTTATCATAGTGCTTCCTAGCCAGGTCCTCACCTGCTTTGGAGTTTGGTCATCAGCCCCACAGTAGTCTCAAATGGCAGGATTAATCATGGAGCTTTAGCTGCTTCTCTGGGAGCAAGAGACAAGCCCTGCCTGGAGAAACCACATCTCCCTTTAGATGAGATCATCTGCTGGGGATTCAGGGCCTTGAAAACAGGAACAACCAAGGCCCTAATCTGCAAAGCTGTGGCACCAGCTACCACTACCTGGGTGGCATTTTGGGAGCCAATACCTGTGTGTTAGAGCCATTGTCATCTGCTGGAGTTCTCTGTCACACACAGTGGAATCCATACTGCTCAGAGCAGCCCCTTCTTTCTGAAAAAAATTGTTCCCAGAACTTGCCTGCTGTCTTAAGGGGGTAAGTCCAGCCTCACTTACACAGATGTGCAGGGTCTTTCCCACTTGCAGTACTCCAGATAGATAATCACAAGTCTGGTCTAGCTAACACAGTTCCTGCCTGCCTTTTTTTCCAGAAAGCAAGCTGTTCAAGAAAACACCCTGCAGTTAGAAAACTTCCCCAACGACCAGAACCCCACTGTTGGCTGTTCAAGAAAACACCCTGCAGTTAGTGGGGGTTAGTTCTGGTCCTTGGGGAAGTTTTCTGTTACAGGCACTGTGATTAACTCACGCAGTACAAGTTTCAAAAGCATATGGATTGACTTATTGTTAACTAAGCTAATACTGCAGCTAAGCATGTGCTCAGGAAAGAGGTAGCTAACGCATCTCCCTGCATTCTCCTGAGATAGATGCTGAGTCGCTTAGTGCAAGTAACATCTCTGTGCTTACAGTGAAGGGTTTTGCAGCATTCTTGCTCTCAAGCAGCAAACCACAAGGATCACAACCTCTCCCTGAATCAAAATTAATTTGAGAATCTAAGTTAGCATCTGAATTCTCACTGCTCTTAAGTCCCATCATGCCTATCCTGGATGAATAAGATCCTGCAGCACTTAGGGCCAGTTGCTGTGGGGGTGAAAAAACAAACTAGGAATTGTGGCCGAAAGGCATCTATGCCTAAAGACAGTTTGTTTCCCTTAGCCTTCCTTTAGGCAAAGCCCATTAAACAATCTTTCTACTGGTTCCAGGAGCCAAAGCTGTACACATCTCTGCAAACCCATTCACCAGCCAGGGCCTTTGCAGGAGAGGGGAAACACATAAAAGAGAGGCAGTTTGGCAGCAGTGACAAACACAGCTAGCAGCTTGCAGAGAATAGCTGAAATATCTTATACCAACCTTTCCCCCATGCAGCAGGAGCTAGGACCCAAACATAACTAGGAGAGGGATGTAAGAGAGTGGAGCAGGAAAAGGAAGTTCAGTTCCTCAAGCAGCAGGTAAAGGAGTCCTGGGAGTCGCAGGGACAGCCTGTCCTAGCACACGGAAAGCCCCATGAACCTCAGTAAAGGACAACAACTTGCAAGCAGCCACTAACTCCCTGCAGTGAGCTTCAGCAGCCATTAAGTATTTGCTACAACAAAGTGGGAATTTAAACCCAAATATGTTCATACTATGTGTCCCCTTGCAGTAGCTGCCTTCAGAAAAGCTGTAATTCAACAAGGGCCAGGTCAGCCCTGGCCCCAGAACCGCAGGTGCTGGAGCAGGGGGACTGTCTGAGCGCAGCGCTCCATGCCCGGGGCCCCGTGGCAGAGGGAGGTCCCCGAAGGAGGCCCAATGGGGAGGTTAAAGCGCTTCCCAAACTGGCTCTGTGCTTCAAAGGGAAATCGAGTCATAAAGCAGATGAGTCATTTTGAGTAAGGTCTGAAAATACATAATCAAGGTCACTTGCCTTTCCTGTTCAAACAATTTCTCTCCTATCTGCCGCTCTGTTAACATGACTGCAAGCTGTGAAGGAGTGTGATGCTTTCCTGACAAGGCCCCATCTACACGTTATACATACACTAGTGCTTCTCTGACAGGCTCCCTGCTCTCCCTCACCCCCAGAAGCCCAAAGCTGCTGTAAACTGCCTTTCACATAGAACAAGAAAGATTTAACTGGCACTTGAAAATGACAAAAATCAGTCAGCTTCAAAATCTCCCAGTGGTCAGTCTTGGCATTAAAATTTCTGTAATGCTGCAATCAAAATACTTCTTACATGAGAGGTGTTTTTTTTTTTTCTTTTTTTTAATGCCTTGTACTCACCTACATGGTTGCTGGTTATATCCAATCAAAAAAAAACTTAAAAAGCTAAAATGCCCTTCACTTTTGCCTTAAGATGACTGACAAGCTGTCATTCTGGTACGGTTCGGCAGCTTTGTCACACCACGCTGTTGCTTGGGAAAACCCACAGAGAGCTTTATTTATTTTGGCATTGCCACGATGGCATTACATACGTGTCTGCACTGCAAACAAAAATGTTTTGTGACACGCTGTGTGCTGGGACTGACAGAATATACATGTTGATACTGCTTAGCAAGGAGAAGTGCTCAGCCAAAGAGAGGAGAGAGGAAAATAATAATAATAAAACCCAACTGTATCCTTCGTCCAGATTGCTCCCTGTTCTCCGATTACTGGCAGGCAAGGACGTGTCTGGTGGTGCCAAGCTATTACACAGGCAAAGGCAGCAAATTGCAAGGTCAGAGCCACGATAGGTGGAGCTCCAGTCACTGAAAACATGAGCAGACAATGAAACAAAGCGGGAGGCTGCAAAACGAAGCAGGAGACGGTTCCGCTGGAGGTGAAGGGACATAAAAGGAGCGACGACAGTCTGCGTGCGCAGGTGGGAAGCGGGAGGCCTGCGGTGCCAGAGCCCGGGCTCTGCAGCACAACACGGTGCGCGCCGGCGCTCGCAGCCACCCAGAGCAGCCCCCCACAGAACTTGTTCTGACCCAGCGGCCACAGAGGTGAGGAGAGGTGTCGCATCCTGCAGCCCAACGCTGCCCTTCACAAGCGACACAAACACAATCGTACACGACACGGGCAGGCCTGAGGCGCAGCTGAGCCTGCGAGGATAGGGGAAGGAGGAGGAGCAAACTGGAAAACCGGCAGAGAAAAGGGCTAAGAGACAAAGATGGCTTTTATTTTTTGTGCAAATTCCTGACCATTCTTCCTCTCAGCCCCTGCTCTTCTGCCTCTGTTTCGTTTCCCCAGCTACAAATCTCAGGGATAGTGCACACCTGGCATACACATTAGCCACGTGAGGCAGGAAGGTTTGCAGCAGGGTCTAACCACGGCCGAGCACAGCACTTTGGAGCTCGCACGCGTCTGCCTCACAGAAGGGCACAGAAACCAGCCAGCACCTCTTCAAAGGAGCCTCTGCTTTCCTGCACGCAAAGGCTCCCACAGGGAAACAAACCCACTGCAATAGAGCAAGTGTAGCAGACAGGTTATAGAGAAATCTGTACATTCTAGACTTGTTCCTTGGTGCGTTGTATGAGTGTGGGTTTTTTCTTTGTTTTGTTTTTAAACTGGGGCATACCTTTGGGAATAGCATTTAATTCACATGATTCTTATATTATTCACATTTATCATAGCATTTCCTAATCAGAAGAGATGTAGAAGCTGCTCATCTGCCAAAAGCCTGACATCCCATTTCTGGTGAGAACAGAGTCTATTCCATTCTGTGACTCCAAACCTGCTTTTATCGTGTCACAGCTCAGACAAACCAGATTCACTTTCTTACCAAGACAATGTGCTCATTTTAACTACTGACATATTAACATCATAGCAAACGTACTCAATCCAGAGGACAGAACATCATCCAGAGCAAGAGGAATGTAATGGTGAATCATTAATATGTCTCTGGTAAAACATACAAACTGATCTGGAAATTTCCTGGAAAACAGTCCTCCCCTAACCCATACTTTTCCTTGCAAAAAAAAAAAAAAGATTTTTCACATTAAACAAATCAGAACTTCTCTGAAATTTCATTCCTCAGCCCTCTTGTGTAGTATTCTATGTAACTGTTAGATATCCTATGTAGTATTCTCTGTATCTGTCACTCTCTGCTATGGCAGCACAAGGCCCCCTCCCTCAGGACGGCTGCTGGTGACAGCAGGCAGGTTTGCAAAGCGCCGCTCGGGCCCGGTGCTCCCCCGGCCCTGCAGGGAGAGCAGCTCTGCGGGGAGCCCAGCCAGGAGCTGCCACACGCTGCTCCTGCCGGCATCAGCCCTGTGCGTCAGGGTGGCCCTTCCACTCCAGCACCAGCTGCTCCCGTGTCACTTCATTTTTACCGTTTCCCACCCCCCCCCAGTATTTCTGTTTGTTTAGTTAGCCTTCCTGTGCAGGTTTCTGTGCAGAGACATTGTTCACAGCCCCTTAGGCTAGAATAGCTCAATGTTGTTAATTCTTACTAGTACTGGGCTTTGCTAAACCAGACATCTATCCCCTTTAAGTAGCTGATCCATTCCATTTTCCATACCCTGTGTACTCACAGCACCAAGGATCATCAGCAGAGGGAAAACAGCTGGTGTACAGGAAACAACAGGCTCATTTTCCTCCTCCTCTTCAGGGAAAGCAAGGGAAAACCACCCAATCCTTTCCATGTTGTCCAGCAATAGTGACAGCTCAGGTAAGCACCACACGAGATTTGGAACAGCAATGGTAAACACTTGTCCACCACAACCAGTCAAGAAGGGACTCTGTATGGACAGGTTGCTACAATACTAAGATCACTTATAAACAAAAAATGCATAGACAGTATTTGCTCTCAGACTGAGCGCTAAAATTTGACCCTGACAGAAAAAACTCAGACAAGTCGTTGAAACAGATGCCAAGGATTTTATACAAGGAATGTCATGGCTGCTTTCTCTCTGTGCATTTACATGGGAGCAAAGCCACATGCATAAACAGCACACAGGGCACAGCCTACAAACCAGCACCACGTCGTAACTGCGCTGCTCACCCGCTGAGAAAACGGAGAGACTTTGAAGCACAAAATTATGCTGAATGTGCAGGATGTCTTTTTAAGAGACGATTTCTACCTACTGTTCTCATGCCCTCCCTTGGGCAACTGTCAGTTTATGGCAAACTTTGCTTACAGAAACAGGAGAGTCCCCAGCAAACTCAGCCAGTGCAGAAGGTGTCACGGAACATCTTCCGAGTGTACTTCCACGACGAGGCTGCAAGTAGCTGTGGGAGGGCACTCACTTTGCAAGCATGTTCTTTTCAGAGACAAAGTGAGTGCCACTTGCTACAAGGAAAAAGCC